TGCAAAAATTTTAAATGGGTTGCGTTATGACCTTTCCAGATATAGATATAATTCGATCATGTTCTCTCCTGTCCTCTCCACCTCCCACCTCTTGTAGGTTCTCCTCAAATAGTTTATGTTCACTACTTTTTTTTTTTTTTAGATCTAGATTGAGAAAACATCTGATACTTGCTTGTATTTCTGAGTCTGGCTTATCTTGCTTGATACAATGGTCTCCTGTTCCACCCATTTTCCTGCAAACACCATCATTTCCTTCTTCTTTCTGGCTGTGTAGTACTCCACTGTGTATCTACACCACGTTTGCTTTATCCATTCATTAGTTGTTGGGCGCCTGGGCTGATTCCACAGCGTGGTGTCATAAGCTGTGCTTCTTTGGATGTGGGTGTGCAGGTGTAGCATAGGTGGGTCTCATGTTAAATCTCCTTTTAATTTAGTGAGGAGCCTCCATATTTCTTTCCACAGCGGCTGCGCTAATTTACCTTCCCACTGGCAGTGTATGAGGGTCCTTTTCCCTGCATCCTCACCAAGATGCTCACCCTGTCTCTTAAAGGCTCCATAGCACTCCCAGTGGTGCCACCCCAGGACCCCTTCTCCAATCACACAGACCTCTGGAAGGGGATACAATTAAATCATATCCAAACTATGACAGGGTAGTTCTTCTGAGCACCCAGAAATAGGGTGAGATGCAGGGAGGGGAAGCTATCTGCCCAAGATCACACGGCAAGAAAATTGGAGAGGCAGAATTTGGGGTCAAACTGATGATTCCATTCTTAATTAGCTCTTCACCAAAAATTTCCTTCAAGGGCTCATTCAGATGAGGCCTCCTTGAGGAAGCCTCCCTGATTCTCTGTCTGGGAGAAGTTCCATTCACTGAGTTAAACTCCAAATTCCCCAAGCATGACAACTGTACCTCTTTCATTTCTGTTTCTCTTTCCTCTTCCATCCTTGGTTGAGAGAGACCCAAGTTTAATTTGTCTATACCTAGTATTTTTTTGGAAGTACTGAGATTTGAACTCAGGGCCTTGTGGTTGCTAGGAAGGCCCTTTATTGCTTTGTTCCCAGACCCTCCCCCCATTTTTTAACAACTAGACTGTGGGCCCCCTGGTGTTGGGGATCTCTTTCTTACTATCTCTTTTTACTATATACTGTAAAGAAACATGGCTTCTCAACAATACTTACACACACACATATATACATTTTGGGTGGGTCTGGGATTTGAATTTAGGGCTTTGCACTTGCAAAACAGGTACTCTACCATTTGAGTTGTGGAGTCCATTTTATTTTGGTTATTTTGGAGATGGGGGGGGTCTCTCGAATTATTTCCCTAGGCTGGTCTTGAACTATGATCCTCCTGATCTCAGCCTCCCATGTGGCTAGGATCACAGGCGTGATCTCTTTGCTTGTTCTTAAGTTTATTTATTTGAGACGTTTGTTTGTTTGAGACAAAGATCTTGCTACATAGCCCATGCTGGCCTCAAACTCACCATTCTCTTGCCTTAGCCTCCCAGGGGCTGGGATTATAGAGTGTACGACCATATCCAGCTGTTTTCTTTTTCTAACCATAAGTATATTGACTTCCTTAAATTCTCAAAGAACATGTGTTAATGATTTTTTCAAAGAATTAGTCTTGTGTTTGCTACCGAGCCCTACTGTTGGTTTGTGGTTTTCTTTTTAATTTCATGTTTGTCATTTACTTCCTTTTGGCTTTTTTTCTTTTTGGAGGGACTGGGGTTTGAACTCAAGGCTTCATGCTGGCAAAGTCTTCCCCCTTTCTGTTAACAGACTTTTGGGCAAAAACTTGGGCAATGGGAGTCCCAACAGACTGTGCTGGGCCACCCATCCCAATACCGTAATTAAAGAGACTAGTAGACCGGCAGGGATTGACAATCAAGGCCAGTCTGGTCCAAAAAGTTAGCCAGACCTCATTGTAACCAGTAAGCGGGGTGTGGCGGCACCCGCCTGTGGTCCCAGCTATGTGGGAGGCATAGGTAGAAGGATCGAGGTTCACACCAGCATAGGGAAAAAGTGAGAACCTATCTGAAAAAAATAACCTAAGGTAAGAAGGGGTGTGGCTGCCTAAGAAGCAGAAGGCCCTGAGTTCAAATCCCAGTACTGCCAAAAAAAGCAGAGATTTACTCAATACGGCCATGTCAGAAAGCACAGATAAAGGGGTTCAATGACCCTCAAGGCTGCTTTTGGGGTACATACTTGAGCTTTAGTCTAAGTAGAGAAAGAATTGGGGCAGGGGAGAGAGATCTGTATAATTAAGCAGGATTTGTGACAGTGTGGCCCTGTCCAGGTCTCGGTCCTGGTTCCACAAGAGAAGTCCTGTCACTAGGAGACAATTCCCATGAGATGACAGCTCCTGCTGGGGTGATCTTGTCGGGGGACGATCTGTCTGTGAGCCTCTGCCCTTGCTAGATTCCAGGGTGACTACAGGTTTAGGACAGTGACTGGAGACTTTTAGGTGCCTCTGTGGGGTCTGGAAGAGGACTTGTAAAAGCCGACGGTGACATGCCTCAGTTACTCTTATCTCTGTGTTTTCAGCCTAGAAGGCAATGGAACAGGCCAGGTATCACAGGCTTGCGACAGACACTCCTGAGTGAGTAATGTTAAACTGAAAAAGGCGCAGAATAGACAGGCGGGAGACAGCTCAACGCCAGCACAGGGTATATTTGGGAAGAAACCCTGCAGAGGGGACCCCAGAAAGAGAGCTGGAGCTCCAGCTGCTTACAGACTGGGGGTAAATATAGGAGATAGGTGGAGAAGTCCCAGGAAGGTCACTGGGTGGGAAAACCCTCAATGGCCCTCTGACCCTCTGGAGATAAAGGCTTAAGGGCCAGTCACTCTTCTAGGCCAGGTGGGGGGTTTCTAGTTAATGGCTAAAGGTGGATGTTTATTTTTGTCTAAGGTCAGGTGGAGTTTCCAGTAAGTCACCTTCAAGGGGAGGGGGTCCAGTTCTAATATGGCTGTCCTTTTGTTCACCTAACAAGTAGCACACCCCTTGCAGACTGAAGCAGGGGTCTCACCAAAGTGAAGGAGACAGATACAAAATGGAGGCAGGGATGTCAGCTGTTCTCCTACCTTTAGTTACCTTGTGGGCCCACGAACTGCAGTTTATACGCACCTGTATTTCCTTTTTTTTTTTTTTTTTAATTGTAGTTCTTTGAAAATTTTAAGCAGGAGGCTTACTTAACTTTTCCTCTTCTATCTTCTGATAAAATGAGTTGGCTTCTGCATGCTTTGTTTTCTATTTCCACTGGGCATCCCACTTACAATACGTAAGTCAAATTTAATTCAGGTTGAGCATCCCTGATGTGGAATCCTGAAATCTGAAATGCGCCAAAATCCGAAACTTTTTGAGCATTCACATGACACCGTAAGTGGAAAATTCCACCCCTGACCTCATGTGTGGGGTCTCAGTGAAAACGTAGGCACACTAAAAGTCTTGAATAAAATTATCTCCAGGTCTTGAATAAAATTATTTGTTTTGACTTCAGTCTCATCTTCACGATACCTTGTTATGTACATGCAAACATCCCAAAATCTGAAAAAAGGCTAGATGTGATAGTTTATTCCTGTAATCCCAGCTCCTTGGGTGGCAGAATCAGGAGAATCTCAGTCTGAGGTTGACCTGGGCAAATTTAGCTGGGAACCCTACCTGAACGCAAACTAAAAGCTTTAATAAAATGATCAGGGGACTGCTTAAACAATGCCTGAGCTTCCTCTCTGGCCTAAAACTTGTCCCCACGATCCTGGGGTGCATGTGGCGATCCTGGGGTACAAAGTGGCTGCGCATGGGGAAGGGTCGGGATGGGCCAGGTGCAGGAATTTGGAAATCTGCACCTTAAGTTTTCCACCCGCCCCTAGAGGGCTCAGTGTACCCCGGCGTTCCATCAGAACCTCGGGGGGACGGTGGGGGGAGGGGCTGAGGGGCAGGAGCGCGCTGTGCGCAGGCGCCTGATGGGCCGTGTCTCCTCCGCCGCTCCCTATTGGCTCTTCTGTCTGCAGTAGGGCGGGGTCAGGCCGTCAGGGCAGTGTGCGCATGCGCAAGCCTAAACGCGTGCGCGTGAGGGGGGGGCTCCTAGGACCGGAAGTGGAGCGTCCGCTGCTTTTAGTGAGGTGAGAGGCGGGGCGCATACTGGCGGTGGCGGTGGTGGTGGTGGCGGCGGCTGCTGCAGTTTGGTATTGAGCCAAGGGGTGAGGGAATCCCCAAGATGAGGAAAAATGTGGAGACAAGTCGAGGGGTCGCACTGAGCCCCGGGGAGACTGAGGGGAACGCGGCCTCTGGGGAGGAGTGAGGAGCAGACGATTGGGATGGAGGGGCGAGAGACCGGATCATGGCGGGGCAGAGTGACGGGTGGCGAAAGGTGGACACCGACAGAAGAAAACCCGAAAAAAACGGGGTGATAGTGAACCATCCCGAAAAATGGGTAGAGGAGGAGACGGAGCCCAGACCCAGATTTCAATTCGTGTCTGCCTCCTCTGGCTCAGTAACAGTGTTTTCTTAGAATTGCAAGAAAAATGTATGTTTACATGTGGGTACACCATTTATAATGTGATTATATGTACTTTATATGTAGAGGCACAATATATGTATGTGTACAAATGTATAGAATTTGGAATACATTGATACGGTAGCACAAAAAGCTATTATTAAAACTTCAGACCATTGAGAGATGAAAGGATTAGATAGAGAAAAGGGGAGTGAACGTTGGGGCAGGGACTGGTGGCTCTCTCCTGTAATCCTAGCTATTTGGGAGGCTGAGATTGGGAGGATCGAGGTTTGAGACCAGCCCAGGGAAATAGTTCTCGAGATCCTATCTCCAAAAAAAAACAGAGCAAAATGGACTGGAGGTGTTGCTGAAATGGTAGAGCGCCTGCTGCTTTGTGTGAGTGTGAAACCCTGAGTTCAGACCCCAGTCCAAAAAAAAAAGTGAGAATTGGGAGACAAAATGGAGATCCAGGGGAAAAAAAAAGATTCAAAGAAAAGGAGACCTGAAGCGGGACAGAGGAAGAGACAGTAGGATTACAGATAAAATCAGACTGAAAAATGAGATCAGGTACATACAGAGAGATGGGACCAGACTAGGAAAGGGAAGAGAGATGAGGTGGTAAGATGGACTAAGAAATAGACCATGCCCTGGAGATGTAGAGAGGATGACACACCTGCCAGGGGACCTGAGCCTAGGAAAAGACACCAGGAGGTGGTCAGAGACATAGAGAAATTGGAAGATCCAGGTAATCTAAAAGTCTTAAGAGAAGCCAGGTTTGGTGGTGCGTGCCTGTAATCCCAGCACTATGGAGGCTGAGGCAGGAGGATTTTGACTTTCAAGCCAGCCTAGGGTACACAGGAGACCCCATCTCCAAAACCAAAACCAAACAAGTCTGAGAGAGAATGGACTACTTGGAGTCACGGGGATGTTCCTCCTGCTCCCAGGATACAGTTTGCAGCCTTAAGAAGAACACTCTCCTTTTCATTGTCCCTGTCCATTTCGGAGAACCACTGACTCAGTATTATAGCAGCTCTTGTGAGACTTCATCGTCCTTTCCTCTTAGAACAGAGCTTCCTCCTAAAGCTGCCCTGGCATCCCCCAGCTTAGGTGTTTACCAAGAAGTGATGCACACTGCATCCCATTTAACGCTGTTTCTATGGGAAATGACCCTACCAGGTCACAAGAGCTTCCTCACTGGAACTCAGATCAAGCTCTAGTAATTCCCGGGATTGGCCTGAGTTTACCCTTTGCTACTGCAGAGAGCAAAACTCTGTACTCTGTCCCCTGATGGCCCTAGAGATTAGAGGCTGAGTAGGTAAAGAGGATTGCTAATATCATTCTGAGGGGGATTCATGTCATTTTTTCAGGTCATCTGTCCCTTTGCTGTTTTCCCTGCGTTAGTGTCTCTTATTGTTGAGGGAGGCATTGAACTTGAATACTAGTTGCTGTTCAGTTTCTCTGCTAAGCTAGGTGATTTAACATTGCTATGTTTTAGGGTGGCTTTTGTCTCCATTTATAGATAAAAAAACCACTTTGAAGTAGTTCCCTAATGGTCACATACCTACCTAGTAAATGTCTCCAAATCTTACACCAAGGAAGGCTCTGAACCCTTTTAAGGTCATAAGCCCTTAAGAATAGGAGTGGCTGGGTGCAATGGCGCACGCCTGTAATCTTAACTGCTTGGGAGGCTGAGACTGGCAGGACGGAGGTTCAAGGCCAGCGTAGGCAAGTAGTTTGCAAGACCCCATCCTCCAGATAACCACAGCAAAATAGTCTGGAGGTGTGTTTCAAGAAGTGGAATGCCTACTTTGTAAGTGCAAAGGCCTGAGTTCAAATCCCAGTCCCACTACAAAAAAAAAAAAATAAAAGGAGTGCTCAACTTCCTTCCAGAAAGTTGCACGCACAGTCACATACTCTTTATTAGGGCTTTTTCAGTTGAGTTTAGAATCCAACTTTCAGCAAAAAGGCGTTTTCTGGGCTGGCGTTGTAGCTCGGTGGTAGAGCACTTTCCTGCCTTGCAAGAGGTCTGGGTTCCATCCCCAGCACTGCAAAAAAAGAGAGAAAAAAAAAAGAAAGGCATTTTATTGTATAGCCAGAAAGTGTAGGTTTGAAGAGAACTAAACCCTGAACACTAATAATGCTACCAAGCTTCTTTCCCTCTCTCTGTCTTTCATAGTGACTATCCTTATTTCCATACCCAGGTATTTCCCTAGGGTAGATTTCTAGGTAGCAAACGGCTTCAGGTTTACATAAACTCGTCTAGTAACAACAGATAAAATGAGCTTTTCTCTCCTAGTAACCAAGTGTAAATTCCAGTGAAGGGCCTCGATTGGCTCCTGATTGGGTCACGTGACCACTCCTCAGCCCAATCACCGATTGAAAGGGGAATAAAATACCATGGTCAATCAGGCCTTTGACTTAAAGGCCACCAGAGCCATGTGGAAATGAAGGCCCTTCTCCAAAGGAAGGGACACTGTTAGAAAAAGGGAAAGGAATGTGGCAGGCAGGCAGGCAACAGCAAGACCTAACACTTGTAAAACTGTTCATTTAATTTCAAGAGCTCCAGGGTTGTGAAGCTCAGTGGACCCCAGGTTCAGAACCCTTGATTTGTTCTTTTGTTATATCCAGACTCTAATTACTGCCTTCATAGCAGGATTCTGTTGTTGATTGACCACATGACCTACATCTCTCTTTTAGGTCTCAGGTCAAACATCCCCTCCTCTGGGATCCTTTGCTGACTCCCAGGAATGGGCAGGCACCTCTGGGTTCCTGCAGGTCTTGAGTCACTGGATTGTTCTGGTCTGGGCCATGGCTCGGGGTTACTCATGACCTCCATTCCTTGTGTAGTGTTTGAGATCAGTGTTGTAAAGAGGAATGAATGTCTTCTGTTCTCTCCCTGCCAAGTATCCAGAGCTGAAACCCCAGGATGAATGTGTGTTGCTCCCAGAGGTCACTGTGAGACTTAAGAGGAACCTTGTGTGCTGTCTATTCTGTCACCTGCGGTGGTCCTGTCCCAAGAGAGAGAAAGAAAATTAGCTCTTTGAAGAGAAGGTGGCTCCTGTTGCTCGCACTGGGGATGGATGAGAGTAGTTGGTCCAAGTGATCAGAACTGAGGCAGTTTTGTGACAGCGCTGTGATTGGCACCATGCCACCTCCCAGAACAAGGGAGGGCAGGGATTACCGATTCTACCATCGTGCTCCCAGTGGGGAACAGGCCCAGGAGAAGTGGGACTGGAACTGTCCAAAAGCACGTGGCCTTCTGGAAGACGCCTTCTTCCGTGATGAAGATTACATCCGCCAGGGCTCTGAGGACTGCCAGAAGTTCTGGACCTTCTTTGAGCGTTTGCAGAGATTCCAGAATCTCAAGCCCTCCAGGAAGGAGGAGAAAGAGCCTCGACGGTGCAAGCACCGCATCCCAGCGCTGGCCGACCTGCCTCGCACTTACGACCCGCGCCACCGCATCAACCTCTCCCTGCTGGGCCCTGACCTCCGGGGCTCGTGGGGACTGCCCCCAGAGAGGGTGTCCGAGTTCCGCTGGGCCCTGTTGCACTACCTGGACTTTGGCCAGAAGCAGGCGTTTGGGCGGCTGGCCAAGCTGCAGCGGGAGCGGGCAATGCTTCCCATAGCCCAGTATGGGAGCCGCATCCTGCAGACGCTGACCGAGCACCAGGTGGTGGTGGTGGCTGGTGACACAGGCTGTGGCAAGTCCACTCAAGTGCCCCAGTGTTTGCTGGCTGCTGGCCTCAGTCGTGTGGCGTGTACTCAGCCCAGGCGGATCGCCTGCATCTCACTGGCCAAGCGCGTTGGTCTCGAGAGCCTCAGTCAGTATGGCTCACAGGTGAGTGGGACCTGCCAGCTTGCCAGTTTTTCCAGGTTGTCCATGCACAGGATCAAACAAAGTTAATATGCACCCTTTGACCTGGAGATGACTTTTCTAGAACTTTCTATCTACAGATTTGCTTCTGTATGGTCCAGATGACACAGACGTGCACGTTACCCATACAGCCCTTTAACGGCCAAAAAAAGGAAAGATCTTCAAGGCTCATTAATGTTTTTTCTAAGCAGCTTTTTAACACCAACAAAAAAGAATAGTTTTTTGTTGGAAAAAAGAAAGGGGATCAAACCCAGGGTCTCACATGTGTTAAGTGTGTGATGCCCTACCACTGACCTGCGTCTACATCCTGACACCTTTTGTTTAGTTTTTGTTTCTGTTTTTTGCAGTGCTGGGGGTGGAATCCAGGTCTTTGAGCATGCTAGGCAAGTTCTCTACCACTGAGCTACACCCCCTGCCCCTACCCCCTGACACTTTCTTGTCAGTACTGGGGCTTTTAAACTCTGGGCCTCATGCTTGCTAGGCATGTGCTCTTACTGCTTGAGCCACTCTATCAGCCCTTTTTTGCAATGGAGTTTTTCAAGATAGGGTCTCATGAAATATCAGCCCAGGCTGGCTTGGAACTGAGATCCTCCTGATCTCTGCCTCCTGAGTAGCTAGGATTACAGGCATGAGCCACCAGTGCCGGGCTTCCCCTGATACTTTCTTACTAATGAGGTCCTTGTTATTCAAGTTTTAATATTCAAAACACAAGACAGTCCATGTACCCTAAGTATATAGCTCAGTCAGTTTTCACAAATTGCACTCATTTATGTAACAGCACCCAAATTTAAAAAGCAAAATCAAACACACCCCACCCATAAACCTTCTTGTTCCTACTTAGCATTTTAAGGGTTGTCATATTCTTAGTGATTGATACATTATCACACCTTAGTGATAGAATGTCACAGATTATTTCTGCCTTTTTTTTCTTTTTAAACTTTACAAATGCACTCATTCCTGCTCTCTGGTGTCCTTGTGAGTCATCTATAGAATAGTGCACAGTGTGTTTCATTTACTCTCACTGCTTGGCCATGTGTGATCATGGAGGCACCATGGTGTATTTGTTCTTTATCTTCATGGGAATTTGGGGGGTTTCCAGTTCTTGGGTCTTGTGAGTAGTGTTGCTGTGAACATTCTAGAACTTGCCAGTTAGTGTCTTTTGGGACACCACTGCTGGGTGGTGCCTAGGGGTGGAATCGCTGGGTCGTCAGAGCTGCGTGTGTGTTTACCCTTAGTAGATGTCACCACGCTGTCTTGCAAAGTGGTCACTTTGATTTACACTCTCACCAGCAGCATGTTATAGATTGTCACCAGTCCTTGGCCTGGCTAATCTTTCATTTCCGCTTTGCTGGTGGATGTGCAGTGCTCTCACATTCTAATTTGCATTCTGAATTTTAATCCGCAGCCCCTGGTGACCAAGGGCCTTTCCACGTATGGACTGGCCATTTGAAGACCTTCTTTATGAAGTGCCTGTCCATTTATCTTTTGCAATGTTCTTGATTTATAGGTCTGTAAAAAATTCTGGGGGCTGATGGAGTGGCTAAACAGGTAGAGTGATTATGAGGCCCTGAGTTTAAACCCCAGTACTGGTCAACAACAACAAAAAAAAAAGTTTTGGATGTGACTTCTTTAATTTTCTTATTTTTTTTTAGTGGTACTGGGGATCGAACCCAGAGCCTTGTGCATGCTAGGCAAACACTCAACCACTGAGCTACATCACTACATCCCCAGCTTTCTGGATGTGAGTCCTTTGTAGGATTTATGTCTTACAACTCCCATGGCCTCCCATGATGCCTTCCATTCTCTCCATGTATTTGGTGACAATACCTTTGCATTTCAGTACAGTCCAGTTTGTCATTTTCTTTTTATGGTCTTGTTTAAGAAATGTTGTCTACTTTAAACTCATGAAAAAGCTCCCCTATTTTTTTCTAAGAGTTTTCACCTTCAGAACTTAGCTGGAATTAATTTGTGTGTGTGCATATGTGTATATGAGGTGAGGTAGCGGGTAGAAGCGTTTCTTTTCAGTGCCTCTTTTAAGTTTTGTTACCTTAGATGAGTTACCTCAGTTTCCCCATTTTTTTCCTCCCCCGCACCCCCTCTTCCCTGTTTGTTAAATCAAGAAAATAGTTCTTACATCGAGCAACGGTTGTGAGGGTAAAACGAATTATACATTTAACATAAAGCATTTGAGTAGTTTCTGGTGTGTAGTAAAGACTCAAGAACAGGGTAATTATTACTGTCGTAGTCCATTAATTAATTAATATTACACACCAGGCACCATGCCAGGTACTTTCTGTGCATTCACATAGGATGAGAGCATCCAGGAGGAAAAGGCCACATCTCTCAAGGGATAGCATTGTTTGCCCAAGGTCAGTGGCCTGTGTAGCAGAGATGGGATTCCCAATGGACTCCAGAGCCTGCTGCAGGGGTGGCATTGCTCAGATTGTCAGTTTGGACAAAGGTGGGGGTCTGGTGCCCAGGCCCAGAGTCTGTTCTATCCCGACACCTTTTTTCCTCCCACCCAGGTTGGCTACCAGATCCGCTTTGAGAGCACCCGTTCAGCCGCCACCAAGATTGTGTTCCTGACAGTGGGGCTGCTCCTGCGGCAAATCCAGCGGGAACCCAGCCTGCCCCAGTACCAGGTCCTGATCGTGGATGAAGTCCATGAACGGCACCTCCACAACGACTTCCTCCTGGGTGTCCTTCGGTGCCTGCTGCCCAGGCGGCCTGACCTCAAGGTCATCCTCATGTCGGCCACCATTAACATCTCACTCTTCTCCAGCTACTTCGACCATGCCCCTGTGGTGCAGGTGCCTGGGAGGCTCTTCCCTATCACGGTTAGTTCTTCCTGGCCTCCCCTGGTCTCCCAGCTGCTCTTTCTCTACCTCTTCAAGGAAGGAATGTGAACATCTCTCTCTCTCTCTCTCTCTTCATAGAGTTTGAACTCAGGGCCTGTACCTGGAGCCACTCCACCAGCCCTTTTTTGTGATTTTTTTTTTTTTCAAGATAGGGTCTCACAAACTATTTGCATGGGCTGGCTTCAAACTGAGGTCCTCCTGATCTCTGCCTCCTGAGTAGCTAGGATTATAGGCAGGCGTCTGGCTCGGCTCTCTCTTTTAAAGCTTCTGTTTTCTGAACATTTACAATGTGCTAGGTAGAGTGTTGAGTGCTTATTATAGCGAAAGCTGAATTGCTGTAACAGAGACTCAAAAATACAAAGGTTTGGATAAGATAGAAGTTTATTTTTCCCTTGAAAAATCTGGCCATCCCAGGCTGGTAGGTTGCTCTATTCCATGCGGTCATTCAGGGACTTATTTCTTCTTGTTGCACCATCTCACAGGGTAGGGTTTCCCAGTCAGCCATCTTGCAATTTAGGGCTGGGTGATTGTTTGTGGTGGGGCTGTCCTGGGATTGTCCAATATTGAGCTGCATCCTGGCACTAGATTCCTCCCTAAGTTGTGACAACCCAGAATGTCTCCAGATATTGTCCTGTGTCCCCTGAGGGCAAAGCCACCCCCATTGTCCTGGGAGCTGTCCTTGTCTGTACAGTGAATGCTGGCAGTAGGGACTTCATTACCATTAGTGGTTTCCGGTTCTCAGTGCCCATGGATCTATCTCATAAGCAGTCATCAAAAAAGAATGAGCGCCAGTGGCTCACACCTGTAATCCTAGCTACTCAGGAGGCAGAGAACAGGAGGATTGTGGTTTGAAGCCCACCCTGGCTTTAGAGAGACCTTATCTCGAAAAAAATGCATCACAGAAAAGGGCTGGTAGAGTGGTTCAAGATGTAGGCCCTGAGTTCAAACCCCAGTACCGCAAAACAAAAAACAAAAAAAAACAAAGAATGAAGCTGCTTCCTGAGAGGGGATTTCCAGGGCTTTAATCCTGGTTCCACCCCTTCAATATTTTTCATTGTTGAAGTCATCACATTCTAGATACAAAAGAATGCACATATCATAAGTGTATAATTCAAGTCTTTTTTGTCTTTTGGCAGTACCAGGGTTTAAATTCAGGGCCTCACGCTTGTTGGGCAGGTGCCACTTGAGCCATTCTACCAGCCCTTGATTAATTCTCATAAATGTATCTTTTTAGCCAGCACCCAGATTTAAAAAGGATCAAATATTGCCAGTCCCCAGAAGCTCTTGTGTTACCTTGCTTTGTGGGTTTTTTTTTTTTTCCATCCTCTAAAAACTATCCCCTTGGGTGTGCTGTTACCTGACTGCTCTGTGTCTTCCCTGTCAGCCAGTGATCCCTACACCATTGCTCTGTGCTCGAGTCACAGCATGCTCCTGCCTGGGGCTGTCTTGTCACAGGTCGTGTACCAGCCGCAGGAGGCAGAGCCGGCAGCGTCCAAGTCAGAGAAGCTGGACCCTCGGCCTTTCCTGAGGGTTCTGGAGGCCATTGACAATAAGTACCCACCGGAGGAGCGGGGTGACCTTCTGGTCTTCCTCAGTGGCATGGCGGAGATCAGCACTGTGCTGGAGGCCGCCCAGACCTACGCCAGCCACACCCAGCGCTGGGTGGTGCTGCCGTTGCATAGTGCCCTCTCTGTGGCTGACCAGGACAAGGTACCACACAAGGCCAAGGCCAGGCAGAGTGTGTGTGTGGGAGGTGTGAAGGGTAGGAGGAGGGGTCAAGGGCAGCTATAAGTAGCCAGGTCTGTGGGACTGCACTTGTGCAGTTATATGGCTGGGCTGGGTATGAACTCAGGCAGTTTGGCCCTAGAGCTCTTAACCAGAGGTTGGCAAACTTTGTATTGTGGATCAGACAAGGTATTTTCAGCTTTGTAGGCATAGGCTAGTCAATAGCACGAAATACGCTAGCATCGCACCATGAAAGTAGCCATAAAATGAGCAGGCGTGGCTGAGTTCCAATAAAACTTTATTTACAAGAACAAGTGGCAGGCTCGATTTGGCCCACGGGCCATAGTTGTTGACCTTGGTCTAACCACTTTGCTTAACTGTTTCTTAAAGCCAGGGGCTTGTGCAAAGGGCCTGTGATGGGAGAAAGTGGGGGCAGCTGGGAAGTAACATGCAGTGTGACTGGGGTTCAGATTGTGCAGAGGAAGTCAGGAGAGATGGGACTAGTGAGATGGGTAGAACTAGGCCACAGGGGGCCCGGAAGACCCAGGTGGTTCCTGGGTTTGTTTTAAGGGCACTGGGGAGCCATAGCCATGGGAAGGTTCTGAAAAAGGCAGGGCTAGTGTCAGTTTTAGTGGACCCCTCAGCTGACATACGAGGGCCAGGTTGGAGGGTGGGAGATACAGCCCAGAGACCAAAGAGGCAGCTGGAGGAGGATGAGAAGGAGAGAGAGGGACTGGTCTGGGATTTAGGGAAAAGGGAGGGAACTCAAGAAGTGTGGAAACTGTTCAGGTTAGTGGAGGGAGGCAGTGCTCAGGACAGCCCAGTGACGAGGAGGGTGGTGATCCAGCTCTGAGATGGGGACTGGACATTCTGAGGCTGTTTTAGAGCTGAGTGTGAAGTGCTGGGACATCCAGGAGGCTGCTGACAAACAGGTGAGTCAGGGTGACACACCTGTCACCCTGGTATTCCTGTTCTGGTACCTGTCCCTCTCCCCCAGGTATTCGATGTGGCACCCCCAGGAGTCCGGAAGTGTATCCTCTCTACCAACATTGCTGAAACCTCAGTCACTATTGATGGGATCCGCTTTGTAGTAGATTCTGGTAAGGGCTGTCCCCAACCCCCTCTGCCACTCTGAGGACCTAGCAAGAAGCATAGTGATGTGCGTACAAAGGAGGATGCGGGGGGCATTTGGCTGGTGGAGCAGAGGCAACATCTATGTTTTTCCAAGCTTGCTTCTGCCCCAGGGTCTTTACATGCACTGTATTCTCTGTGATATTTCCGTATGTGCATATAGTTTACTTTGATCATACTTACCACCTCGTTTCTCTCTGCTGAGAACTGTCTTCCTCCAGATACGCGCAAGGCTCCCTCTGTCCCTCCCTGCATCAGAGAGGGCCACCCTGTCCACCCCCTCTTCTTCCATTGTCCCTTCCCCTATGAAAGGCTGGCATTGTGTTTTATATCTGTTGCTCTGTTTGTTTTAAGTCTTCCTGAATAGAATGTTTACTGTAAAGTCAGCCTAGCATAGTTGTCAGGAGACACTGGAACCACCATGGCCAGTTCACTGCTATCTGTGTGCCCTGGGTCCTTGTCCCTGACTCATGGGGTCAGATTGCTCCACTGTAAAGTGGCAGTGATAAGGTGGTGAGGATCAGAAGAGTTAATTCACCTTGGTGCTTGGGATGGCGCCTGACACAGTGTGAGTGCTCAAAACGGGTATTGCCTTATTGTCTTGACTCTGGGTTGGCAGGAGCTCAAGCGCAACGAAGACACTGGGAGCTGATGTTGGTCACACTGGCGTGCTGTGGGTTTCAGGGCCCATCCTGTTCTCAGAGGCAATGCAATGTGATAAACTTGGTCTTCACTGCTTGAGAAACAGTGTGGTGCCCAGTCCTGAGAGATGAGGTCTTTGTTATGTTCATGGCTGTGTTTCTGGGGCCTGCACACAGTAGGTCCTCTGAAGAAGCAAAGACTTGTGAAAATAAGTGAAAAGTTGTGTATGTCCGTCAGGTCTCCATTGCCACACCAAATACCTGAGATAATCAGTTTGGAAAGAGAAAGGCTTGACTTGGGCCACAGTTCAGAGGTTTCTGTTGGTGTCCATCGGTCCTGATCTTTTGGGCCTGTTGTGAGGCAGCACATCATGGTGGGAGCATATGACAGAGCAAAACTGCTCACCTTATAGCCAGCCCAGAAGCAAAAAAACGGAAGAGGAAGTGGGTTATGCTGTCCATTCAAGGGCATGCCCCCAGTGACCTCCATTCCTCCCGGAAGGCCCTGCCTCCCAGCAGTGCCACCCTGGGGAGCAAACCCAGAATAGATGAACAGAATGTCAAGGGCAGGCTCAGAATGTGCTCTTGGTTAGTGGGAGCAGAATGGAGTGAGGCTGGTGAGTGATGCACTGGGGGCACACCAGTGTGTTGGTGGCCATGAGTAGCTGCTATACACCCTCCCTTAGCATCCCTTCCTCCACACACAGGGAAGGTAAAGGAGATGAGCTACGATCCACAGGCCAAACTGCAGAGGCTGCAGGAGTTCTGGATAAGCCAGGCCAGTGCTGAGCAGCGGAAGGGCCGGGCAGGCCGCACGGGGCCTGGGGTCTGCTACCGCCTCTATGCTGAATCCGACTACGATGCCTTTGCCCCCTACCCTGTCCCGGAAATCCGGAGGGTGGCTCTGGATGCACTGGTGCTACAGGTGAGGCATGGCTGGATCCTGACTGCTGGTGCCAGGGAAGAGCCCAGGAGGTGGGTAGATGGGATCAGGGCCAGGGACAGCAGAGCCTGGGAAGACCCCTGTGACGGGGTCAGGATGATTTCTGCTGTAACCAGAGCCCAGTAGGAAGTGGCTTTTAAAACCAGGATTTGGGGCTGGAAGTATATAGTTCAGTGGTAGAGCACTTTCTTGGCATGTGCAATGCTCTGAATTTAATTCCCAGCACCATAGGAAAAAAGGAGAACTAAATAAAAACAGGGTTTCTTGATATATTTTAGGCCATGACTTCTGTCTCATAACTCAGCTTAGCTTTGCTCTGACAAATAGACCTGATTACAGGATGGCTAAGGCAGCAGAATTTTGGTTTTGCAGCTAGGCGCCAGAGGCTCATGCCTGTAATCCTAGCTACTCAGAAGGCAGAGATCAGGAGGATTGTGGTTCGAAGCCAGCCAGATAAATTGTTCATGAGCCCATATCTCTAAAATACCCATCACAAAAAAGGGCTGGTGGAGTGCCTCAAGTGGTAAGAGCACCTGCCTAGCTAGTGTGAGGCCCTGAGTTCAAACCCCAGTGCCAAGGGGGTGGGGTAGTGGATCAGAATTTTGATCTCTTTTTTTTTTTTTTTTATGGTGCTGGGGCTTGAACTCAGGGCCTACACCTTGAGCCACTCCACCAGCCCTTTTTTTGTGAATGGTTTTTTTGAGATTAGGCTCTCGAGAACTGTTTGCCTGGGCTGGTTTCCAACTGCTATCCTCCTGATCTCTGCCACCTGAATAGGTAGAATTACAGGTGTGAGCCACCAGTGCCCAGCTTGGTCTTTTTTTTTTTTTTTTTGGTCTTTTCTTTTTTGGTGCTGTGATCAAACCCAGGGTACATGCCAGGCAAGTGTTCTACCACTGAGCTATATTCCAGCCCCCAAAATTCAGAATTTTGATTTGCAGATTGTCAGGCAATTTCCTTTATTTAAGAAGCCTCCCTCCCTCCCGCCCCCAAGCAGCATGCTTCCACTTACTTTCCCATAGAGTTCAGTTACGTGACTCCCTGACTGTGAGGGAGGTTGAGAAATGTAGTCTCTGCTCAGGAACAAGAGGAAAAGGGAAGTGGGGCAGCTGCTCGTGTCTTCCTTCCATACCCTCTGAGCTTGGGAGTGTCACAGCCAGCACCCGTCTTGTAGGATGAGGCACACCTGTGCCAGCTGTCTCTGTTTTTTTGTTTTGCAGTCTTGGGGATGAATCCGAGCCTCGTGCATGCTAGGCAAATGCTCTACCACTTGAATCATTCCCCCAGTCCTTTTGTTTGCATTTTGTTTTTGAGACAGAGTTTTGATAACTTTGCCAGAGCTGGCCTCCCGAGTAGCTGGAATTACAGGTATGCAACTCTGTGCCTGGCTCCTGGTGTTCTCTATTCTGAGTTTATTTTAAAAAATGATTGTGTGCAACCCACTATATGGATTCTCTGACTTTCTGGTGACTTCTCACCTGCCATTGAATGGCCTAGCAGAGCATGGTTGTGCACATCTGTAATCCCAGAACTTGAGTGACTGAGGCAGGAGGATCATGAGTTCAAGACCATCCTGGGCTACATAATGAGACCCTGTCTAAAATGAATGAACAAAACAGCCCTGGCTGGAACAATGCAGGAAATCTGTCTCATGTTAGTAGGAAGGCCTGAGGTTTCACACATGGTTATCTTGACAAAGCAATGATATGGGAAGATGAGCACCCTTCCATCTTTCTAACCAGTCCTTCAGCAGCTGTGATGATGGTGATGGTGAACCCTCACCCCCCCCACACATATGCTTATGTGGCAGTTACTATCAGCCAAACACTGCTCTGTGTATTTTATGTGTGTAACTAGACCCTCACAAAAACTCTTCACAGAGGTATCTTGTCATTCTAACTTATGGATGAGGAAAAGGGTGCACAGAAAGGTACAGTAACTTGCTCCATGTCACACAGCTGGTAAGTAGCAGAGTTAGGCTTCAATTTGAGGCTTTTGGGTATCAGAGCCTGCTTCGTGAATGCCTTCCGACTCTGGCCACCATGGCCACCACTTCCTCCTTTGTCTCAGAGGCCAGAGCAAACAGCTACTCTTCTTTGTGGGACTACTCTTGAAGGCCATAAGAACCATTCTCAGAAGCCCCACCCACACCCCCAGTGATCTCCCCTCCTGTCCTGTCTGCAGCACCAGGCAGGAGTCTCCCTATAATTGGTGGTCGTCAGAGGCCTGGCATTGCCACCTGCATCAGAACCAGGATTCTCAGTCTGGCTGCATGTTGGAGCTGCCTAGAGAACTCAGAAAGCAACCTAGTCCCCTCCCCCAGCTTTCCATCTAATAGTCTTTTCAGTTCTGTTTTGCACAGCATCAAGGCTCGGGTATCAGAGAGGAGGCACAGCAGCTGGGTGGCGGGGAAAAGGCGAGTGGCCCGATCAGATGCTCTGGGCTTTTTTCTCTCTCCAAGTCCCATGGGTCACCCTGCCAGCCCTTGTCATCTAGAGGGGTGTTTGCTCACCTATGTCCTTCCAGGCCTGGTGACAGGTGTGTGCTGTCATTTCATTTCCCACCCCTGCCACCAGCTTGGGCCTTTGAATTCTTTGGGATACTTGAGTTTACAGGTGAGGAAAACAGCCCCAAACTGTCAGATGAAAGGGGATTTTATCAACTTCTGTATCCACATGGGTGGGGGAGATTTCTCGTCTGCTGTGGCTGGGACAGTCTCCAGGTGATGGAAGACAACTGTGGTGGTTCTGGACTTCTATCTGGCCACTGACAAACAGAGAGGGCCTGGAGCGTTAATCCCAGTGTGCTGGCCCAGGGACGTCTTTTGATTGGCCTAGCTCAGTCATGTGCTCATTCCACCTCGGTGGCTATGACAGGGGCCAAGGAATTGTGATTTCTCAAGTTTAGATCTGTGCTGCTTCCTCATGGTCAGGGTTTGGGCGATGTGCTGGAGAGGCAGACAGGCCGTACCCCTCCCCGTCTCTGTGTTATGGACCTTGACATTAGAAGTTTTAGAACATCCTGAGTACCCCATCCTCCACTGTGGTTCATGTGACCTCTGGTTCTCATTTCAGATGAAGAGCATGAGTGTAGGGGACCCTCGAACCTTCCCCTTCATTGAGCCCCCACCACCAGCCAGCCTGGAAACTGCCATCCTCTACCTCCGAGACCAGGGGGCCCTGGATAGCTCAGAGGCCCTCACCCCCATTGGGGCCCTGCTAGCCCAGCTGCCCGTGGACGTTGTGATTGGTGAGTCCTCCCCCAGTGATCACACAGGGCACTGCTCACTTGGAGGAACCAGTGGCAGGCCAGTGTCTTCCCTGGGCCCAGTTCATTTGTTCATGAGTACTCAGTGCCCAGTGTTGGGGTACAGCAGCAGACAAAACAGACACACATCCGTGCCCTTGGATTGCGGAGATGCCAATGGGGATGAGTCAAGTGCACAGTGGACCAGCAGGCTAAGGGCTACAAAGGAAAGAAAAGAGGTGGTAGGCAGTGTGTGTGTGTTGTAGGTGGGGGCTGGCACTGCATCCTGCAGGCCTCAAGGCAAGCTCCACTGTTTCCTCACTGGGAAGGGGGTGTGTGCAGAGAAACAGAGACGAGGGTGCCAGCTGTCCAAAACCCCAAGATGGGCTTGCAGATAGAGGTAAAGAAATCCAGTGCATAACTTGAAACTGTCCAGTAACCACTTAGAGAAGACAAAGAAGCAGGTGGAATTAATTTTGATAATTTATCGTATTTAATCTAATGCATCCAAAATATTTCAACACATAATCAAAATAAAGATTATTGTGGTATTTTAGATTATTTCCTCATACAAAGTCTCAGAAATCCAGAGTGTTTTTGGATTGGCCACATTTCAAGTGCTTGGTGGCCACATGTGGCCAGTGGCTGCTGTACTGGACAGTGCGAACGTGGTAGAAGGCAGAGGGCACAGCTAGTGCCAAGGCCCTGTGGTACAAATGTGCCTGGCATGTTACGGGAACAGTGAGAGGCCTGTGTGGCTGGAGCAGAGGGCAAGGGAGAGGGCAGATGTTAGGTATTCATGGGGCTCCTGCTCAGATCCAGGCTGTTCTAGATACCAGAGTCACCAGTGAAGAGTACAAATCCCTGTTCTCTGGGACCTCTGTGGAATGTGGAGGCTGATGGTGAGTGATAAATGGGTTAGCCATAAAGCAGATCACCTGTGGCATTGGTAGATGAGCAGGGCTGCAGTGACGGGAGGGGCCACACTGAGCTGATGGCATTGGAGCAGTGACCTGAAGGAGAGTGGGGACAGTCCTGGGTCAGGTGAGGAGCTGTGAATCATGAGGGACTGAAGTGTTTAAGTGGAACTGGGTTTTACATGGCTGGAGGAAACCAGGTGGAAACCAGGAGGAAATCAGCTGGACATTCATTAAGGACCAGGAAGGTCAGGGCTCCAGTGCTTGGCAGAACCCACCTACTTCCAGCCCCCACCCTGCTGCTCAGGTCTTCAGTGGCCACAGCAGATGCAGGGCTCCTTGCCTCCTTTGCTGTGTTTTCAGGAAGGGGAATTTATCCCGAAGGAATTGGTATCCATCCTTCCTCTGACCCTGACCTCACTGCTGAGCTGTGACTTGCTGCTAGGGTCTTAGGGCAGTTCCCTCAAGCCACAGATGCTGCCACAGGGGTAACACAAAGTGCGTGGGGCTCTCCAGCACTTGGTGTGTGTACAGGGCCCTCCTTGGGACAGGAGGATGAGTAGGTGGTACCCAAGACCCTCCAGACTCAGGAATCCTGGGTTTCCTAAGACGTAAACCCTCTCCTTCTCTGCACAGCCTGTCCCCACCTCTGCCCCAAGTTCCCTTTCTTGGGGTCAACAGGAAGTTGTAACAGAGAGGTCTAGGCCAGCGGCCCATCTCCAGGACTTCCACATGTCAGGTCTGGCCACTTCCCCCATCATGCCAAATAAAGTGAAGTGGCCTGGGCACCCATGGGAAGAGGTACCATCTTCAGGGGGCACCCCTGAGTTTTAGTTTTAAATAGAGGAAGATTGGGGCAGGGGGCGAGAGGCGTGCAGAATTATCAATAGTCCAGGCAGAGTGTGTCCTGGCTCATCGATTTCAAGGAGTTCTGGAGAAGTTGTCATCTGTCATCACTGGAGGGAAGCCATCTGGTCAGGATAAGATGTCGTGGTTGCCTGGCGGGTGCTCTGTCCTGGGAAGGCTGCTGTTCCCTCCCTTAGGGGTAGCATCCATCCATTATCCTAAAGATGTTATTATCCATTAGTCCTGTACTCCTGGAGCCTAAGGTGATTATAGGGTGCATGCAGAGAAGGGCAGAGCAGAGGACACAGATACAAAATGGAGGCAGGGATGCAAGCATTTCTGCTGCTTTTAATTCCCTTTGGGACACTTGCAGGCCCAAGTGAGGAGTCAGAGCCTGTCAGCAGAAGCAGTTCATAATGTTCCAAGTCTTCTTCTTGCTCATTCCTGAGTCACCCCTGCACCTCTCCCCCCCCCC